CGGCGCCGACTCGATTGCGAATTGCACTTTTTTGCTATTAAGTTGAAACATAATGATAGCGGATCTTTGTAATTTCAATTGCAACACTTATGCATAATAAAATAATCAATATATTGAATTTCACACACCGTGAATTATTGAAAAGAGGCTAGTTGAACATATCGAATGACACGATGCAAACATGTTTATAACGCAAACATTGATGTTGTCTTTTTTGCACTTTTATTCCTTATTTTTGCACTTGTACAATAATGCGATGCTATTATGCGTGATTGAAAGCACCATCAAATAACAAATATAATAATATCGATTTTAATGGATATTAACTGATAATATATAATAATGGACTAACGTAAATGCAAAAGAGAAAGAAAAAAAGAGTGGTTGGGGAGAGACGGTGAGCGGGAGAGGGGGAGAGAGAAAGCATGAGAGTGGGAAGTGCGAGAGGGGTGAGGGGAGAGTTGGGGCGAGAGAGTGGTGTGTGGTGAGAGGAGAAAGGGAAATGAGAAGCGGTGAGAGGAAGACGATGAAGAGGGGCGAGAGAGAGAGGGGCGACAGGGAAGAGAGAGGGGATGAGAGGGAAGAGAGAGGGACGGGCGAGAGAGAGTGAGTAAGTGAGGACGAGAGAGGGGAGGGAGAGGGAGGGAAGAGAGGGGGAAAGGAGAAAGAGAGGAGGTGGGAGAGAGAGAGAGAGAAATATAAGTTACAGTAATATAGAGACATAAGAATAGAGAGTACAAAAACTAATTTCTTTTAATTTAAAGCAGTTTCTGCAAAAACTATATTAAATAATAAATATTAATTAATATTAAAGATAAATATCAATTTGCAGCGCTAATATAAAATTGAACAAATCATGTTATGATTTGAACAATTTGTTTGTTAAACAGTTCAGAATCAGTTTAGTTTAACAACTTGTTAAACAGTTATTGACTCGTTATGTTAGGCTTGACTTTTTGAAAATGCTTACTTATTCGTATAATCTTGTGCTAATATAACTAAAACGGTCGCAATATATTTGAAAAACTAGAATAAAACAATATTGCATTGTATACATTTATTGTGAATAAGTATTTAAATAATAAATATTTATATATGATCATTACCCCGTATAGGAACTTGTAGCCAAATTGGAAGAGTCCAATCCCGTAGAATCTAACTGGCGCATGAGCTACTTGCAATAGAAACTGCAAAATCTATATTAATATACTAGATTATTTAATATAATATACATTCTAACTGTATTTTTGTCTTTACTTTAAATTAAATTAATGTTTGTTTTAGTAATTTTCAGTAAACATTTATTTTAAGACTTACATTTTCACGGATTTCAACATCACAAATGGAATATGATATTCTGTTGATTAAATTTCCTGTTGTATTTACCTAGTGTATAAAAGTAAAATTAAAATTTATTTTTTATAATCTAGTTACGTAAAATTAAAAATATTATGCAACACATTTAAATATGTATTAAGATTTAAATTCTAAATAGGTACATTTTAAATTTGAACACACAAATTTTTGTATCGATACCTTAACGCTGATGCTCTCACATATGAAATTAATGAGAAGAAGTTTGAAGAAGAAAATGAAAAACCAGGATAAATGTATGAGAAGAAATTGTATTTTATTTTCATTCATATAATCGTCGAAGAGTGTCATGTGAAAAGTTTCACGAAGTTCATGCGCTAACCAACAACAGTAACATCCTGTGGACATTGTTATCCCAATTCCGAATATCGAATCTATCTCACGACATATTTTACGTAACTCTAAATGAAGCTGTCTACGTAAACGTAATATTAAATCTTAATATTAAATCTACAAGGTTATAACCGCGATATTAATGGAATTTACATAAATTCTCTTACATTATAATCCATATCATCCATTCGCTATTTCGAATCTTTGGAAATTTGCGTTTCTGTAAAAGCGACACAGGATTTTCCCAAGCACGTTTTATTCCGCCTTTGTTATCTTTTGCCAAATCCAGTAGATATTGGTTAACTTGATCAAACTTTAATTCTACATATCTAAATATAAAATAATGTGTTTGTATATTAGATACTTAAACTATTATTAGCAAATGTATTATATTAAAATTATTAAAAAATTTAATATAAAATTAATATTTCTATATTTTTATACGTATAATAGCATATTTTTATTAATTTAGAAACTTTTTTAAATTTGCTATAGAATAATTTTTCTAAATATAAAAAGAGAGAGAGAGAGAGAGAAGTACGAACCCAAGAAGAGTAATAAAAATCAGGTTGTTGATAAAATTAATATGGCTGCAGTAATTTATCATAACACTCATATAAATAGCTTTTGCATTGTTATAATTATACTCTTTTTTCATCCATATGACTTCTAAAAAAGTCAGTAACATGACTATCACAGACCATCCTAAGACGAGCCGTACTGTTTTCATATGCAGCTTGTGATAATCTGTTGTCGTTCCGAGTTTTTTCAGCGTGTCATCCATAATAGTAAGTTTTTTGAGACAATTTTTAAATTTCTGATGTGAAAAGAAGCAATGCACAGTGGAGAAATAATTAATGTTACTCCGAAAATTTTAGTTCTCTTATGTCTAGCGTAATTTTATCCTATTTTATAAAGAAATATAAAAAGAGATATATATAATAAAATATAAATATTATTCTTTTATTTTAAGAAATAATTTGCTAAATATATCGAGAAAAGAAATTTTCCTAATAACTTACAGCGCATAAATATGTACAAAATATTTTAATTTAATTTTAATTTTTTCTTATGATTACTTTTTATGCAAAATAAAAATACCGTAAGAAATATAAATTAAAAAGGCAATTACTATTATTTTAGATGACTAAAACGTTATGCCATTTTTAAATACAATCAAAATTGCTAAGCGTCTGTGCCAAGATTTTCTTACCTTGTCGTGATACATTCCAAAAGCAATTGACACTAATACTACAAAAAAGTCCAGGCAAAGGCAAATATAATACATGGAATTATAAGGAATGTAAGATACTATTGTATAACTGAAGAGGAAATAGTAAACCGACCATAATAGCAGCATATATATGAAACTGAACCACGGTCTTAAATGATATGTAGGAAACTCGATAGTTCTTAAACCACATAGAAAACTGGTTATCAGAAGCGGTGTTAAAACAATTCGAATGTTGTTGGTCATTGCGCACACCGTTGCAAACTGTATCTTTTTGTCAGCCAGATGTGTATTTGTCCTAGTTACATCATACATTAACGATAGTGGATCTTTGTAATTTCATTTGAGACATTCATAGATATTGGAATAATCAATCTACTGCTATTACTAGTTCTACCGCGACTTATTGAAATAGGAATGAGATGATAGATATGTCGCCTTCTTCTAAGTTTACGATAACAATATTAATGTGCTACTTGTTGACATTTCTGTTTTTATTTCCTAATTCGAGAATTTGTATATAGTACTATTACATGCATCTACAAATATTATCAAATTAGCGACATACAGCGTCGCATTTTAAACAATACGTTATATTATTAATCGTACATTTTAAACAATATTAATTAAAAATGTAATGATAAAATAATGAATACAAGAAATATTTATAAAATTTTATATTAAAAACCATACTGTTGGATGACGTACAAGAAATTCGATAATTCTTAAACCAGACACATAACTGATTATCAAGAGCGGTGTTAAAATGCTTTAAATGCTTTTAGTCATTACACCGTTTTGATTCTAAATTACATTTCAACTTTATCGAATGGTCATGGTATCTTTATAATTTCATTTATTGGTCTTACAGTTATTGAAATAATCGATCTGTTGAAGTTTATATATCGCGATATATTTAACCAGTTTGGATAATGAATGACATTTTGTTTTTATATGAAAAATGTAAAAAAAGATAATTATAAATGTAATCATTAAGTATATATTCATAACAGAAATATGAACATTGTTCTTCATACATTTCTTTATTTTTTGTTTTGAGAGTTTTTACAATGTGAAAACACGATACACATAGATTTAATTATACTAAAGAATTGTGACAGAATATTATAAATAAACACTTTGTTCAAGTAATAATTGAATTAAATGCATCAGTGTAAGCTAGTAGAAAAATAATTTTGTAAATGTTTTAGGCTGTATTAACATGCAAAATAATTCTCTTTGCGTTATATAAATCCTTTAAATAAAATTAATATTATAAGAATCTCTGCAAGAGTTTTAAAGATTTTATTATTACTAGATGCACAAACTTCATCTGAATACAATCAAGATTGAATATTGTTTCCTATAAATACACCGTTTTGATTCTAAAGTACATTTCATTTGCTAACTGAATGGTTGCGCTAACTTTATCGAATGGTCATGGTATCTTTATAATTTCATTTATTGGTCTTACAGTTATTGAAATAATCGATCTGTTGAAGTTTATATATCGCGATATATTTAACCAGTTTGGATAATGAATGACATTTTGTTTTTATATGAAAAATGTAAAAAAAGATAATTATAAATGTAATCATTAAGTATATATTCATAACAGAAATATGAACATTGTTCTTCATACATTTCTTTATTTTTTGTTTTGAGAGTTTTTACAATGTGAAAACACGATACACATAGATTTAATTATACTAAAGAATTGTGACAGAATATTATAAATAAACACTTTGTTCAAGTAATAATTGAATTAAATGCATCAGTGTAAGCTAGTAGAAAAATAATTTTGTAAATGTTTTAGGCTGTATTAACATGCAAAATAATTCTCTTTGCGTTATATAAATCCTTTAAATAAAATTAATATTATAAGAATCTCTGCAAGAGTTTTAAAGATTTTATTATTACTAGATGCACAAACTTCATCTGAATACAATCAAGATTGAATATTGTTTCCTATAAAGAGATGGAAGATTGTATAATTATATATTTAGAAAACTGTATTACTTACCGATTATTATAAATTAACATCCATTTAAGGCTTTTTATGTATTATATTATTTACAATTTTTTTAACATTATAAAAGGTTTATTATGAATTTGTGACTGTATTAATATAACTACAACGGTCGTAACAGACGTGGTAAACTGTAAAGGTAGAAAACAGTATCTGTCTTTTTTATATATTATGGATTTAACTATTTGTAATGCATAAATATACAACAATTGTACGTACTCCTCGAAGGAATTTGAAGCCATACTGGAAAAGTCCAAGACCATAAAACCGTAGCGGCGAGTAAGTCAATTGTAACAATAATTGTGATATCTATATTATTATATTAGACTATTTAATATGCACGATATTGTCTTTCTATCATTGGATTTTAAAAACTAATGTTTATTTTATTAACGTCTGCAAAACTTGTATTAATACTTACATTTTCACACATTTCAACGTTGCGCGTAGAACACAATATTCTATTTACAAAATTTTTTGTTGCATTTGCCTGAAATTGAAATATGTAAAATAGAATTAAAATTGCTTTTCAATAATATAAAACTTATTATTTTATAAGAAATTAGTCGTTGAATATGAATGATAAATAAATATGTTTTGAACTTGAATAGGAAATTATACCTTGGCGCAAACTTTTTCGCACACGAAATTAATGATAAAAAGTTTCAAAATGTTATGGAAAAGCCAGATCAGGCATATAATTGTAAACAATATATTGTTTAAACTTATGATAAATTTTTTAAAAAATATCAGATCAAAAATATCACTAAAATTCGCAACCATGAAAATAAAGTAACATCCCATTTTGATAGTCATCTGTACTCCAAATATCCAGTCTATCTCGCGAGATATTTTACATAATTCTAAATGGATATGCCTGTAATACAATATTAAGTCTTGTCATGTAAATATATTATGATTAACTAAAGTCACGTATATTTTCTTACATTATAGTCCATATCATCCATTTGCTGCTCGAAATTTTTAGAAATCTGCATGGGGATGAATGCAACATAGAATTTTCCCTAGCTTGCCTTATTTTATGTTTGTCATTACTTGCCACATCTTGAACATGTTCGTTGACTTGGTCAAATTTCATTCCTATGTATCTATATATTAAAAGAAGAAACTAATAAACAATGATGACGTTTATTAACACATCCATATGAATATGTACTGTAGTACTAAAAACAATTGCAGAGAAGTTTATAATGCTTTATGCGTAATATACGCATATAAAATTTACGTGTGGATTATATATAAAACGTTAAATTTGTACTAACCCAAGAATACTCATCATTGTTATATCGCCAATAAGATTGATATGAGAGCAGTAGCTAATCGTACAGATAAGATAAATAGCTGTTGCTATATTATATTTAAAATGATATTTTAAATATAGTACTTGTATGCAATTTATTAATATGGCTATCGCAAACCATCCTAAGACGAGTCGTACTATTCTCTTATGTAGCTGCTGATAATTTATCGTTGTTCCTAGTTTTTCTAGTCCGCGGTCTGTCAAAAAAGGTTTTATGATAAATACTTTATCTGTTCTTATCCAAGCAAATACATTTACGATAATTGATACTATTTTTGAGATGATTATCACTTTATTTTGGCATTTTTACGGTTATTATATGTATTATATAATAATAAAATTTTTATTGATAATAAAATTAATTTTATTTGGCAGTAATTAAAAATATATTAAAGAATATATGTATGGAATATATTAAAGAAGTAAAATATAATGTAGCTGACTAAGAGATATTGCGATATATGTTTTTTATGTTTTGCCTACTTTTTTCAGAAAAAAACTTTCCTGCTTGGGACTTCTGACATTTTTATCATAAAGTATAAGTCTTGAGCTTCATTTTGAATTGTCATTGTTTTCTGGAGCACGTCTCCATATACCGAAAGATATAGATAACTCACGTAAAAGTATCAAAAACGCCTATATTAGCAACTTTGACTGAGATTTTCTCAAAAATTTGACGCGATACACCATTTTTCGGTCAGATTCATAATCAGCGCTAAAAAATCCACCAGAAATGATTTGATAGAACTTAAGGTAAATTTGGTGTTGAACAGTGTTATCAAGAACGGTGCTAAAGCTGTTCGCGAATGCTTTTAGTCATTACATATACCGTTTTGATTCTGAACTATACTTTATTTGCCGACTGAATGGTTGCAGTAGCTTCACCAAATGAGAACATATCTTCATAATTTCAATTATTGCAGTTATAGTTATTGAAATAATCCATATGTTGAAGTTTATATACCGCAATATATTTAAATCAATGTCTACTAAACTGATATTAATACTTACATTTTCACACATTTCAACATTGCGCGTAGAATATGATATCCTATTTACAAAATTTTTTGTTGCATTAGCCTAAAATCGAAATATTTAATGTAGAATTAAAGTCGCTTTTAATTTAGTAATATAAAACTTATTATAATGTTGTAGGAAATTAGTCGTTGAATCTGAATTTTGAATAAATGTATTTTGGACTTGAAAAGAGGAAATCGTACCTTGGCGCTAACTTTTTCGCACACGTAATTAATGATGAAAAGTTTGAAAATATTATGGGAAAGCCAAAATAGGTTTATAATTGTATGCAATATATTGTTTAAACTTAAGGTAAATTTTTTAAAAAATATTAGATCAAAAACATTACTAAGAGCTACAGCCATGAAAGCAAAGTAACATCCCATTTTGATAGTCATTTGTACTCCAAATATGCAATCTATCTCGCGAGATATTTTACATAATTCTAAATGGAGATGCCTGCAATATTAAGTTTTATTATGTAAATATATTATGATTGACTAAAGTCACGTATATTTTCTTACATTATAGTCCAAATTATCCGTTTGTTGCTCGAAATTTTTAGAAATCTGCATTGGGATGGATGCAACATAGAATTTTCCCAAGCTTGCTTTATTTTACGATTATCGTTACTTGTCATATCTTGAATATGTTCGTTGACTTGGTCAAACTTTATTCCTATGTATCTATATATTAAAAGATGAAACTAATAAACAATGACGTTTATTAACACATACATATGCATATATACTGTAGAAGTTCTAAGAACAATTTTAGAAAAGTTTATAATATTTTATGCGTGATACATGCATATAAAATTAACGTATGGATTATACATAAAACTTTAAACTTTTACTAACCCGAGAATACTCGTCATTGTTAGATCGCCAATAAGATTAATATGAAAGCTATAGTTAACTATAAAAGTAAAATAAATAGCTACCGCTGTATTATATTTAAGATATTTTAAATATAGTATGTTTAGGTAATCTATTAATATAGCTATGGCGAACCATCCTAAGACGATTCGTACTATTCTCTTATGTAGCTGTTGATAATTTATCGTTGTTCCTAATTTTTCTAATGTGATATCCACAACAGTAAGTTTTCTCAGACAGTTTCTAAATTTCTGAAAAAAGATACACTTTGAATACAAATAAATTATCAGCGTTCATCCAGAATTTTGATTTTATTTTTTAGTAGCGTAATGTTGCTTTTTAATAACAGTTGTGTGTATTAAGATATATAAATATATTTATATGTACATATTTTACATTCTTACAAAGAATAATTTTATTTAATGTGTCGCCAACGAATTTCGTTAATAATTCATGTTGTCTAGGACACAGTGTATTTTATGTTTTGATAGCAATTTATTTTTAGCTAAATATAAGAAATTTTACTTCTCAACAATTTACTGGAGACACTAACAATAAAACTGTATAAAAATCATTGAGATTATTTATCAGTAGAGTGCATATTGTATTAATATTGTCTTACCTTATCATAATATATTCCAAACACAATTGATAATAACGCTGTAGAATGATTTATACTTGCAAAAATATAATATATGATGGGATTCGTAAAAGTTGTTATATACCACATGAGGATAGAGTATAACATCCAGAAAAACGATATGTATAGGAGGCCAAACCATAATCTTGGATGACCTGCCGGAAACTCGATAATTTTTAAACCAAATACATAATTGATTATCAGAAGTGGTGACAGAACTGTCCAAACGTTTTTAGTCATATTGTCACAAGTGCAAACCAAACTACTACTGTCGATCGGACATGGGATACGACGTATATTCGTAATTGCTGCACTTATGCGTATTACAATTATCGATAATTTTTTTAACATGGTTTATTATCAATCTGTGACTGTATTAATATAACTACAACTGTCGTAACAGACGTGATAAACTGTAAAGTTAGAAAACAATATATTTTTGATTTTTAATATTTATGGATTTAATTATTTGTAATGCATAATTATACGACATCACGTACTCCTTGAAGAAATTTGAAGCCAAACTGGAAAAGTCCAAGACCATAAAACCGTAGCGGCGAGAGAGTCAATTGTAACAATAATTGTGATATCTATATTATTATAATAGACTATTTAATATACACATTATTGTCTTTCTGTCATTGGATTTTAAAAACTAATTTTTCATTATCAATGTCTACTAAACTGGTATTAATACTTACATTTTCACACATTTCAACATTGCGCGTAGAATACGATATTCTATTTACAAAATTTTTTGTTGCATTTGCCTGAAATTGAAATATTTAATGTAGAATTAAAGTCGCTTTTAATTTAGTAATATAAAACTTATTATAATGTTGTAGGAAATTAGTCGTTGAATCTGAATTTTGAATAAATGTATTTTGGACTTGAAAAGAGGAAATCGTACCTTGGCGCTAACTTTTTCGCACACGTAATTAATGATGAAAAGTTTGAAAATATTATGGGAAAGCCAGATTAGGCATAAAATTGTAAACAATATATTGTTTAAACTTATGATATATTTATTAAAAAATATCAAGTCAAAAAAATGACTAAGATCCGCAGCCATGAAAGCGAAGTAACTTCCCATTTTGATAGTCATTTGTACTCCAAATATGCAGTCTATCTCGCGAGATATTTTACATAATTCTAAATGGAGATGCCTGTAATATAATATTAAGTTTTGTCATGTAAATATTTTATGATTGACTAAAGTCACGTATATTTTCTTACATTATAGTCCATATCATCCATTTGCTGCCCGAAATATTTAGAAATTTGCATTGGGATGGATGCAACATAGAATTTCCCCAAGCTTGCTTTGTTTTACTATTATCATTACTTGTCATATCTTGAATATGTTCGTTGACTTGGTTAAACTTCATTCCTATGTATCTATATATTAAAAGATGAAATTAATAAACAATGATGACGTTTATTAACACATACATATGAATATGTACTGTAGTTCTAAAAACAATTGCAGAGAAGTATATAATATTTTATGCGTGATACACGCAAATAAAGTTTACGTATGGATTATACATAAAATGTTTAATTTGTACTAACCCAAGAATACTCGTTATTGTTAGATCGCCAATAAGATTAATATGAGAGCAATAATTAAGCATAAAGGTAAGATAAATAGCTGTTGCTGTATTATATTTAAAAAAATATTTCAAAAATAGTATCTGTATACAATTTATTAATATGGCTATCGTGAACCATCCTAAGACGAGTCGTACTATTCTCTTATGTAGCTGTTGATAATTTATCGTTGTTCCTAGTTTTTCTAGTGTAATATCCACAACAGTAAGTTTTCTCAGACAGTTTCTGAATTTCTAAAAAAATACACGATATACTTTGAATACAAATAAATAATTAGCGCTCATCCAGAATCTTGATTTTATTCTTTAGTAGCGTTTAATCCTGCCTTTTAATAACATTTGCGTGTATTAAGATATATAAATATTTTTATATGTACATATTTTACATTCTTTCAACGAAAAATTTTATTAGATGTTTCGCCAAAGAAGTTTGTTAATAATTCACGTGCCTAAGGTGCAGTGTATTTTATGTTTTGATAGCAGTTTATTTCTAGATAAATGTAAGAAATTTTATTTCTTAACGATTTACTCGAGATATTAACAATAAGACTGTTTAAAAACCATCGAGATTATTTTTGTTTGGTAGAATACATATTGCGCTAATATTCTCTTACCTTATCATAATATATTCCAAACATAATTGATAATAAGGCTGTGGAATAATTTAGATATAGAAGAATTTGATGTTTGCCTTGAAAGCGATTTATAAAAGGCGTTATTGTATACCATATGTGCAAATAGTATAATGTCCACGAAAACAGTATGTATAGGAGGCCGAACCATAGTCTTGGATGACCTGCCGGAAACTCAATAATTTTTAAACCAAATACATAATTGATTATCAGAAGTGGTGACAGAACTGTCCAAACGTTTTTAGTCATAGCGAATATCGTCACGATTGCAAACCAAACTATTACTGTCGATCGGACATGGGATACGACGTATATTCATAATTGCTGCACTTATGCGTATTACAATTATCGATCTGTTTAATTTTATATATCGCGGCCTGTCAAAAAAAGTTTTATGATAAATACTTTGTCTGTTTTTATCCAAGCAAATTCCTTTTGCGATAATTTATACTATTTTTGAGATGATTATCACTTTATTTTGGCATTTTTACTATATGTTCACTTTATTTTGGCATTGTTATTATATGTATTAAATTGTTGGAATGGTAGATCTATGTGTGCTTGCTCATAAGTCCTGGTTATTATGGATACGCCTTTGCGACGCCAGATGGAGGGCAGTCTTTCTTTACGTAGTTTACTATCTTATGTTCTTATTTTTTCCACGGTTGTTTAGTTAGTCCTTCCGGTCGCACTGGTGTACACACGCTGCTTCGTTGTACAAAATTATTCTGCATTTATTTTATAACGCAATCGTTTCCTAACACAGTATAATAAATAAGTTGTTCAAATACTATTCCGCGATTACTATTCAGTCCCAGAACCTCTCATTTCCTAACATAAATAATAATAAAATTTTTATTAATATGGAATATATTAAAGAAGTAAAATATAATGTAGCTGACTAAGAGACATTGCGATATATGTTTTTTATGTTTTGCCTACTTTTTTCAGAAAAAAACTTTCCTGCTTGGGACTTCTGACATTTTTATCATAAAGTATAAGTCTTGAGCTTCATTTTGAATTGTCATTGTTTTCTGGAGCACGTCTCCATATACCGAAAGATATAGATAACTCACGTAAAAGTATCAAAAACGCCTATATTAGCAACTTTGACTGAGATTTTCTCAAAAATTTGACGCGATACACCATTTTTCGGTCAGATTCATAATCAGCGCTAAAAAATCCACCAGAAATGATTTGATAGAACTTAAGGTAAATTTGGTGTTGAACAGTGTTATCAAGAACGGTGCTAAAGACGATATTCTACTTACAAAACTTTTCGTTGCATTTGCCTGAAATTGAAATATCTAATGTAGAGTTAAAGTCGCTTTTAATTTAGTAATAGTAAGTAAAAGTAATATAAAACTTATTATTATTTTATAAGAAATTAATTATTGAATCTGAATTTTGAATAAATATGTTTTGAACTTGAATAGGAAATCATACCTTGGCGCTAACTTTTTCGCACACGTAATTAATGCAGAAGAGTTTCACAATATTATGAAAAATCCAGATTAGGTATAAAATTGTTAACAATATATTGTTGAAACTTATGACATATTTTTTAAAAAATATCAGATCAAAAATATCACTAAGATTCACAGCCATGAATGCAAAGTAACATCCCATTTTGATAGTCATTTGTACTCCAAATATCCAGTCTATGTCGCGAGATATTTTACATAATTCTAAATGGAGATGTCTGCAATATTAAGTTTTATTATGTAAATATATTATGATTGACTAAAGTCACGTATATTTTCTTACATTATAGTCCATATCATCCATTTACTGTTCGAAGTTTTTAGAAATTTGCATTGGGATGTATGCAACATAGAATTTCCCCAAGCTTGCTTTATTTTACGATTGTCATTAATTGCCATATCTTGAATATGTTCGTTGACTTGGTCAAATTTTATCCCTATGTATCTATATATTAAAAGAAGAAACTAATTAACAATGACATTTGTTAACAAATACATATGCATACGCACTGTACAAGTTCTAAAAACAATTTCAGAAAAGTTTATAATGTTTTATGCGCAATACACATAAAAATTTATTTATGGATTATACATAAAACGTTAAACTTATACTAACCCAAGAATACCCGTCATTGTTAGATCGCCAAAAAGATTGATATGAGAGCAACAGTTAGTCATAAAGATAAGATATATAGCTGTTGCTGTATTATATTTAAAATAATATTTCAAATATAGTATGTGTATATAATCTATTAATATGGCTACCGCGAACCATACCAAGACAAGTCGTACTATGCCCTTATGTAGCTGTTGATAATTTATCGTTGTTCCTAGTTTTTCTAGTGTGATATCCACAACAGTAAGTTTTCTCAGACAGTTTCTAAATTTCTAAAAAACGGCACGATACACTTTGAATACAAATAAATAATTAGCGCTCATCCAGAATCTTGATTTTATTCTTTAGTAGCGTAATCCTGTCTTTTAATAACAGTTGTTTGTATTAAGATATATCAATATTTTTATATGTACATATTTTATACATTCTTTCAATGAATAATTTCATTAAATGTGTCGCCAAAGAAGTTTGTTAATAATTCATGTTGCGTAAAGTGCAGTGTATTTTATATTTGGATAGCAATTTATTTCTAGATAAATGTAAGAAATTTTACTTCTCAGCAATTTACTCGAGACACTAACAATAAAACTGTTTAAAAACCATCGAGATTATTTTTGTTCGGTAGAATACATATTGCGCTAATATTCTCTTACCTTATCATAATATATTCCAAACACAATTGATAATAACGTTATCAAGTAAGTTAGACATCGGAAAATATAATATATGCTGTGATCCGTTAAAATTGTTGTTGTATACAGTATGAGGAATAAATATAACGTCCACAAAAACAGTATGTATAGGAGGCTGAACCATAATCTTGGATGACCTGCTGGAAACTCGGTGATTTTTAAACCAAATACATAATTGATTATCAGAAGTGGCGAGAGAGCTGTCCGAATGTTTTTAGTCATAGCGGATATCGTCACGATTGCAAACCAAACTATTACTGTCTATCGGACACGGGATACGACGGTATATTCATAATTGCTGCACTTATGCGTATTACAATTATTGATCTGTTTAATTTTATATATCGCGGTCTATCAAAAAAAGTTTTATGATAAATACTTCTGTTCTTATCCAAGCAAATATATTTACGATAATTGATATTATTTTTGAGATGATTATTACTTTATTTTGACATTTGTACGGTTATTACACGTATTAAATAATAATGAAACTCTAATTAATAATAGAATTAATTTCAATTAAAATTAATTAAAAATGTATATATTAAAAAAGTGAAATATAATATAGTATTCAGGAAAATCTTCCCTGCTTGAGATTTTTGGCATTTTTATCATAAAGTATAAGTCTTGAGCTTTATTTTGAGCTGTCACTGCTTTCTGGAGCACGTCTCGACAGATATAACTTACGCAAAAGTATAAAAAATGCCTATTTTAATAACTTTGATTGAGATTTTTTCAAAAACTTGACGCGATACGTCATTTTTTCGCCAGATTCGTAATCAACGCTAAAAATTCTACCAGAAATGACTTGATAGAACTTAAGGTAAATTTGGTGTTGAACAGTGTTACAAAGAGCGGTGCTAAAACTGTTCGAATGCTTTTAATCATTACATACACAGTTTTGATTCTGAACTATACTTCATTTGCCGACTGAATGTTTGCAGTTTCTTCATCAAATGGTCATGCGTATTCTTATAATTTCAATTATTGCACTACTAATTATTAAAATAATCAATCTGTTGAAATTTATATCTCGCAATATATTTGATCAGTGAATAATGAATAACGTTTTCTTTTTATATATAACATGTAAAAACATAAATGTACATAGTATAATCATTATATATTCATAACGGAAATATGAACATTGTTTTTAATATGCTTTGTATTTATTTTTTATCTTAAGAGTTTGTACAATGTTATGATATATATTGAAAAATCTTACTAAAGAATAAAAGATGTGTCTAATTTAATCAATATTTGTTTTAACATATAATTATGTTTTAAAAACGCTGCATGCACAAAGAAACAATCGTAAATCGTGGATTTTTATTAGGTAGTGATTATTTCGTTAGATATTGACTCCTTATACATACAATTAATTTTATGCTAAAAATAATTCTTATGACAACGAATAAGGTAAAAAGATATATTTGACATAAAAATAAAGTAAAAAGTTTTGGATTTTTATCTCATCGTAATATCCCCTATAAAGAAACGGCAAATATTTTTTAATGTTTAGTACAGTATATAGTTGTGTATAATTACATATTTAGATGAATTTGTATTACATACCGATTAATATAGATCAATGTCCATTTAAGGCTTTTTATGTATTATTTACAATTATATTATTTACAATTATTTTAACATAGTTTATTATCAATCTGTGACTGTATTAATATAACTACAACTGTCGTGACAGATGTGATAAACTGTAAAGGTAGAAAACAATATATTTTTGTTTTTTTAATATTTATGGATTTAATTATTTGTAATGCATAATTATACGACAGCACGTACTCCTCGAAGGAATTTGAAGCCAAACTGGAAAAGTCCAAGACCATAAAACCGTAGCGGTGAAAAAGTCAATTGTAACAATAATTGTGATATCTATATTATTATAATAGGTTATTTAATATACATATTATTGTCTTTCTGTCATTGGTTTTTAAAAACTAATGTTTCATTATCATTGCCTACAAAACTGGTATTAATACTTACATTTTCATACATTTCAACGTTGCACGTACAATACGATATTCCATTTACAAAATTTTTCGTTGCATTTGCCTGAAATAAAAATATCTAAGATAAAATTAAAATCGTTTTTAATTTGATAATATAAAACTTCTTATTATTTTATAAGAAATTAGTCGTTGAATTTGAATTTTGAATAAATGTATTTTGAACTTGAAAAGAGGAAATCGTACCTTGGCGCTAACATTTTCGCACACGTAATTAATGATAAAAAGTTTGAAAATATTATGGGAAAGCCAGATTAGGCATATAATTGTAAACAATATATTGTTTAAACTTATGATATATTTTTTAAAAAATATCAAGTCAAAAAAATTATTAAGACTCGCAGCCATGAAAGTAAAGTAACATCCCATTTTGATAGTCATTTGTAGTCCAAATATCCAGTCTATCTCGCGAGATATTTTACATATTTCTAAATGGAGATGCCTGTAATACAATATTAAGTCTTGTTATGTAAATATGTTACGATTGATTAAAGTTACATACATTTTCTTACATTATAGTCCATATCATCCATTTACTGCTCCTAGTTTTTAGAAATCTGCATTGGGATGGATGCAACATAGAATTTCCCCAAGCTTGCCTTATTTTACGATTGTCATTACTTGCCATATCTTGAATATGTTCATTGACTTGGTCAAACTTTATTCCTATGTATCTATATATATATAAAAGAAGAACTAATAAAGAATGATGACGTTTATTAACAAATACGTATGCTTACGTACTGTACAAGTTCTAAAAACAATTGCAGCAAAGTTTATAATGTTTTATGGGCGATACACGCACATAAAATTTACGTATGGATTATACATAAAACGTTAAAATTGTACTAACCCAAGAATACTCATCATTGTCAGATCGCCAATAAGATTGATATGAGAGCAATAGTTAAGCATAGAGGTAAGATAAATAGCCGTTGCTATATTAAATTTAAAATAATATTCCAAATATAGCATGTTTATGTAATTTATTAATATGGCTATAGCGAACCATCCGAAGACGAGTCGTACTATTTTCTTATGTAGCTGTCGATAATTTATCGTTGTTCCTAGTTTTTCTAGTGTGATGTCCACAATAGTAAGTTTTCTCAGAAAGTTTCTAAATTTCTAAAAAAAGACACGATACACTTTGAATACAATTAAATAATTAGCGCTCATCCAGAATCTTGATTTTATTCTCTAGTAGCGTAATCTTGTCTTTCAATGACAGTTGTCTGTGTTAAGATATATAAATATTTTTATATATACATATTTTACATTCTTCCAAAGAATAATTTTAATAAATGATTCGCCAAAGAAGTTTGTTAATAATTCATGTTGCCTAGGCTGCAATGTATTTCATGTATTAACAACAGTTTATTTCTAGTTAAATGTAAAAAATTTTACTTTTCAACGATTTATTCGAGAGACTAACAATGAGATTGTTTAAAAACCATTGAAATTATTTATCGATAGAGTGCATATTGCGTTAATATATTCTCTTACCTTATCATAATATATTCCAAACACAATTGATAATAATACTATGGGATAATTTAGATATTGGAAGATATTATTTATGCCTAGAAAGCGATTCGTAAAAGACGTTGTTGTATACCATATGAGCAAATAGTATAATGACCACGAAAACAGTATGTATAGGAGGCTGAACCATAGTCTTGGATGATCTGCCGGAAACTTGATAATTTTTAAACCAAATACATAATTGATTATCAAAAGTGGCGAGAAAACTGTCCAAACATTTTTAGTCACGGCGGATATCGTCATGATTGCAAGTCAAACTATTACTGTCGATCAGATACGGGATACGATGGTGTATTCGTAATTGTTGCACTTATGCGTATTACATTTATCGATCTGTTTAATTTTATATATCGTGGTCTGTCAAAAAAGGTTTTATGATAAATATCTTGTCTGCTTTTATCCAAGCAAATACATTTTTATAATTATCGATACTACTTCTGAAATGTTTATCACTTTATTCTGACATTTGTACGATTATTGCACGTATTAAATAATAATAATAATGTATTAAATAGAAAATGATGAGTATTATATAATATTCTCAGCTAAATTATACATCTTTTAAAAATATATTTATGATAGAAAAAGTTATATATATATATATTACACATACTCAATATTATATAAGTTGATATTTATTTATATGTGTAGTATAAGAGCTGATTATATTAGTCGTATTTTTATTAAGCTACTTATAGATGTTTTACTTTGTATAAAAAGAAATTTTTTTTTGTTTTTTATTATCAATTTTGTCGAAGTTTTGTACTAGCACGTTTTTGCACGTTTTTTTTTATATTTAATATCGCATAATTAACATGTACACACAAAACACTTTTTATTGGATATGTTATTCAGTAAAACATTGTTTGAATTACTTGCATGTAACACGACGATAGTGACCAAGTGGTTGTCAGGACAGCAGTACTGACATAATCTTAATTCATACAAGAGCTCTTATATAATTATGAAAAATATACCTTCATTTTAGAGAAGATTAAAAATTATATATATTAAATATCATGTTCTATTATTTTAATAGTTTCTATATATTATGTCAAAATATTTAATTATTTGTGTGCGACTGTATTAATATAACTATAACGGTTGCAATAGATGTTATAAACTGTAAAAAAGAGATAATATATTCATTTTTTTAATATTTGTTATGGATTTTAAAATACTTGTAATAGATCATTATAAGATAATTGGAATATACCCTTAGAAAAAATTCAAAACCGAACTGGAAAAGTCTAAGCCCGTAGAATTTGACTGGAGCTTGAGACGTTTGCAATAAAAACTGCGATATCTATATTAATACAATGCATAATTTAATGTACATATATTTAAGATTCCATATTTCAGCTTAAATTTAAAAGAAAAAATTAAAGTTTATTTTAATAAAAACTTTTAGCAAAAAATATATTAAAACTTACGTTTTCACGAACCTCATCATCACGAATGGAATAGGATATTGTACTCATAATATTTCCTGTTATATTCGCCTAAAGTGCAAAATGCAGTTGAAATTGTTTATGATAATGTTATTGTAACGCTATTTAAAAATCAAGGAATTATTTAAATTATTTATATAAAGATGCATTTTGAACTTAAATATATAATTGTTACCTTAGCGCTGACTCTTCCGCACATGAAATTAATTAGAAAAAGTTTGAAGACGTACAATACAATCCAAAATAGACTTAGGGAAAGCATTGAATGTTTCACGAAAACACAGTGCTATAAAACCAAAGTACAATCCCATTTTGAGAGTCAACTGTATTCCAAATACTGAGTTTATTTCGCTAGATATTTTACGCAACTCCAAATGAAGATGTCTGCTAAACAGAATATTAAATTATGTTGCACAAGATCGTTGTAATTTGTTAAATTTATATGATCTCTTACATCACAATTTGTGTCATGTATTTACTGCTTGAAGTTTTCAAAAGTGAACATTGACGTGGCAGTAACACATGATTGTTCCAAATTTGTATTATTCCACTTTTATTATCTATTGCTACCTTTCGAAGATTTTCATTAATTTGATCAAACTTTAGTCCTAAATACCTATATATATATATATATATATATATATATGTGTGTGTGTGTGTGTGTGTGTGTGTGT